ATAACAAACTAATGGACGCGAAACTGAAGTGTTATCTCTTCATGTAATGAGAATAAAGTCATCCAAAGAATCTTTTACTGGAATGCATTTACCCTCGTGTTGTGGTGAGACATAAAATTAATTTATACCACGCCCACACCACACCCAGTTAAATCTTTTAAAATTTGAATTTAAGATAAAAATAATTATGAGCTCTATTGTCACTAAATACAAACAGAAACATAATCATAGAGATACATACTAAGCCTGTGGACTAGAATTCTTATAGAATTCATTTTAACGCTGTCTAACTGTTGACTGAGACTGAAGCTTGCCGCTCTCAGTCTCAAGTGTGTTTTTATTTATTACAATTATCCTACCAATAAAATGATTCAATGCCTCATTACTTTTAAATAAAATGGATTACTTTGTTGGGTCTTTGTAACGCTTTTCTTCTTCAACATGAGGATAACGTTTATGAGCTAATATAGTTGCTACTATGATACTTGCTATCAGAAAAAAGCAGAAAATAGGAAGAGCCACTATTACTATCATGTAAAAAATTATTTAGTGATTATAGTATAACTATCATCGTGACTAACATTCCAACTGTTGCTGTTTCAAAATTTCTTCTTCATGATGTTCCTCCTCTAGTAATGCCTCATTTAATTCTCGTATGAGGGCATAAAATCCTAAAATTAGTTACCATTACCACAACAACGTAGTGCAAGCATTACCAACACAATGATTTTGAGGCCTTGCAGTTTTGAGTAGTGTACCACTTCGACATTTTGTGCAGTCATTATTTGCATTACATTCAAGGCAATAACTTATCCCACAGGCTTTATGAAGGACAGATACAAAGAAAGAGAGCGATTAAGTGTAATTCAATGAGCAGGAGTTGCATGATTTACCATAACAGACACCATTACTATCAGGTTCCCAATCATTTAAACATCTCTGTACACAGAATGTTTTATCAGTATCAGTATCACTGGTACCATGTGAGTCGTTTCCTCTTCCTGTTGCTCTCTTATGATGACCTCCACCTTCTCCTACATCATCTATACAAAATAAAATGTTAACTTGACTAAACAATGATGCTGCACAAAGCATGCTAAGTGAGCATGCAAAAAAGCACACTTGGGTTTTAAAGTAACACAACACAGTATTATGTACATGTATCAGATAAACTATAAAAATCAAAAATGCTCTCTTAGCCATTATTGACAAATACTCAGCACTATAATACAGGGTAATACAGGGTCTTTTTGGCCAGATTTTTGAGCACCTTTAAAATCTACCAACAAGAAGCTGATACCATGCCAAAAATTCTACCGGTATGGGAAACAAATCACAAATCTACCTGGTGATCCAATGACACTCTGTGGTACTGTTGAATTTGGATCAACAAGGAATTTGCAACCTGATTGACATGACTCTGTGCTACCTGATGGACATGATTCTATGAAAAAAGTTAACACAATAAGTTCACACTTGCCAGTTGAATAAACCATCATTGTATCAAATGCATTCATGAGACAATTAAAAATTGTTCACAGCATGCATGTGGAATAACATAATATACTATGCACAAAAGAACTAAATATTGCTTACCCACACATTGGCAGCTGTTGGTAAGATTATTCAAAGTGTATCCAATCCGACATTCAGTTAATGCACAAACTATTTTAATATAATAATAGTTATTCTAGCATTATTCAGTAATTACCGCTACAGTTATCACCACTGAATTCTTGGGTACATTCACATTCATTCCCATTCATAGGATTAGGGATTCCATTATTAGGACAGCTAGTATTAGGAAGACACAGTCCTTTATATTTTGCATAAGTACAGTGCAAACACTCTGAAGCAGATAAACAATGATCACAATACTGTGGACAATCTATCAGAGAAGGATCAAAGGTACATTCTATGATAAAAATGTTCTAATAGTTATGAATAACTCATTGAATACTATATCTGTTATAGGTTATGCTTGCAGATAACATAATGCTGCTTCTGTTTGCTNTCATACCTGTTCCTGATACACAAGAATCTTCAGCATCCACACATTCATAACATGAAGAACTCTCTTCGCTGAACCAAAAATCACTGACAGATAATAATAATAATCCACTGTTACACTGTACAGTGTATCGTCCATTAGTACCAGCCATAGTTTCATAAGATATTGATCCAAAAGAGAGTGTACTCCTATTATCTGAATACTCTAGACAGTTAATGATTGCTCTAGTGAGGTTGTATCCTTCAGTTGAATTGATAGCAGATATTAGGTAGCTGGTATCAGACACTGTACAGCCATTATTGCCACTCTCTCCTTCTCCATGACTAGTGGCGGAGGTGGTACACATCAAGAGAAGAAGATGCAAGAGTAAGGAATACGTTATTGGCATTGATGACTGTTTGCTGTACACAGTAGAGCCTACGAAGACTGATGATACAGCGGAAGGTGAAGCTCCTTAAATAACAAACTTTACAATAGGCAACATGCTGCTAGCAACATTTGTGGTTACTTTGATCTTTTGAGCAACTTGTTGCAAAAATTGAACTGATTCCTTTTTTTAACAACATATTGATTTTAAGATTAAAGTAACCACAAATGTTGCTAGCAACATGTTGGCTGGTGTATAGAGGCTTAATGGACATGAAACTAAACTGATATCTCTTCATTTATAATAAGAATAAAGTCACTTTTACTGGAAAGCATGTACCCTCGTGTTGCATAACTTTTTCACACCCTGACGCTTGTACCATACCCAGTTACTTGTTTTAAAATTTAAATTTCAAATTAAAACAGAGCCCTGTTCACACACACACACACACACACAAAGAGATACACACTAAAAAAGATACACATTAAAAAGATACACACTAAAAAGAGATACTGGTACACACTAAACATGTTAAAATTGTTATAAAACTCATTTTAACGGAATCTAACAGTTGACTGAGAACGAAACTTGCTCTCAATTGTGTTTTCATCTATTACAACTTTCCTATCAATAAAATGATTAAAATGTTATTCTTGAATAAAATAGATTACTTTGTTGGATCTCTGTGACGTTTTTCTTTTCCAACATGAGGATAACGTTTATGAGCAAATACAGCTGCTGCTATGAAGCCTGCTGCCACAATAAAGCAAACAATAGGAAGGACTATTTCTACTAACATGCATAAGACATTAATTATAACAATATAATTATTATCGTAGCTAACATTCTAATTGTTCTTTCTCAAATCTATGTCTTTCATCCTCTTCATCCTTTTCCAGCGTCTCATTTAATTCTTTTATGCGCTCATAAAATCCTAAAATTACATAATTACCGTTACAATACAACATAGTGCAAACATTACCAACACAATGATATTGAGGCCGTGTAGGTTTGAGTAGTGTACCACTTCGACATTTTGTGCAGTCATTATGTGTATTACATTCAAGACAATAACTTATCCCACAGGCTTTATTAAGGAGAGATACAAAAAAGGGAGAGAAAAATTTAATGTAAGTCAACGAGCAGTAGTACATAATTTACCATAACAGGTGCCATTAATACCATCAACTCTCCAAGTGTCATTTAAACATCCCTGTGCACAGAATGTTCTATCAGTATCAGTATCACTGGTACCATGTGAATCTTCTCCTCCTTCTGTTGCATGATGACCTCCACCTTCTTCTTCACCTGTAATACAGAATAAGCTGCTAATTTGACTCAACAATAATGCAGTAGTTGTATTTAGTATATTCTGCTACCTGGTGATCCAATCACACTCCGTGGCACTGTTGATTCTAGGTCAACAAGGAATTTGTGATAATCTGGTGGACATGATTCTGGAAAAGTTATAATAGTAATGATTTAGTTCACATTTAATTAAGTTGAATAAAAACTATACTGCATATGTGAAGTATAAAATCAATAAAAATTGCAGCATTATAGCTGTTATAGTAAAGTAACATACTATCAACTTACTCTGGCATTCACAGGCTGTAACATTATTAAATGTATAACCATTCTCACATTCAGTAAGTTCACAATCTATTTAAAGAGGCATTTATATTTTATATAAGTAGTTTCCAGCTCTTACATTCACAGTTTTCACCACTGTAATTCTGAGTACATTCACACTCATTCCCTTTCATAGAATTAGGTATTCTACCACTAGGACAATTAGAGAGACATATTCCATTATATCTTGCATTAGTACAGTGCAAACACTCTGAAGCAGATAAGCAATGATCACAATACTGCACTAGGCAATCTATCAAACAAAGAAAGAGAATGCGATTCTACGATAGTATGGCATTTTTAAAGATGCTTAGTCAGGCTATGTTTGTTCAGCCACCCCTACACTTCTTTCTAATAATAACGCTTCTTTATATTTATAACATTATATAACACTTATTGAATTATTGTTCTGGTAAAGTGTGTGTTCATACTTGTTCCTGATGCACAAGGATCTTCAGCATCCATGCATTCATAACATGAAGAACGCTCTTCTCTGAATCCAAACACACTGACAGATAATAATAATAATCCACTGTTGCACTGTACAGTGTATCGTCCATTAGTACCAGCCATAGTTTCATAAGATATTGATCCAAAAGAGAGTGTACTCCTATTATCTGAATACTCTAGACAGTTAATGATTGCTCTAGTGAGGTTGTATCCTTCAGTTGAATTGATAGCAGATATTAGGTAGCTGGTATCAGACACTGTACAACCATTACTGCTACTCTCTCCTTCTCCATGACTAGCGGTGGAGGCGGTAGTACATACCAAGAGAAGAGACAGAGAAAGAAGGAAGAGATAGGAAGACATAGAGCTGCTCTACTTTCTTAGCAAAATTTATGGTGTCGGTATGTCACTCCTTCTTTTTATAAACGAACCACACCCACAATAAACCTGAGCCACGCCCTTTAAGTAACTTTAAAGATGGCTGCTGCAAAGAAAGCTCTTGTTATCCTTGCTCCAGGAGCAGAGGAAATGGAGACTGTCATTTCAGTAGATGTTCTACGGAGAGCAAAGATAGACGTCACTCTGGCTGGATTAGATGGGAATGAACCAGTTGAATGCTCTCGCTCAGTGAAGATTGTTCCTGATGTCTCACTGGATGAAGCAGTTGAAAAAAGAGGTCCGTTTGACGTTGTTCTTTTACCAGGAGGACTAGGAGGAGCTGGCCGTCTTTCCGATTCTCCTAAAGTCAAAGAGATCCTTCAGAAGCAAGAAGCCGATGGTCAGTTCATAGCAGCTGTGTGTGCTGCTCCTACTGCACTTGTCTCTTATGGAGTTGGAGTAGGAAAAACAATAACATCTCATCCTGTTGTTAAAGAGGTGATATACTGCATGTGTTTACTGTGCAGCTCCAAATTTTTGTCGGTCAAAATTTCGTCAATTTTGTCAGGTATTTTGTTTGACAAAATTTTCGTTCCACATGGGCAGTATGCGAATTAATAACAAAAATGACAAAAAAATTATCAGCAAAAATTAATTTTAACAAGAAATTAAGACTTTGACAAAATTTTTGACTGACGAAAATTTGGAGCTATATGGTTTGAGGAAAGGGAGTGGCTCATTTGCATGCTGCATTGCTTGATAATGAGCCTCACCCTGAGAATATTTATTACCATTTTCATTACTTATTTTAGAAAATAATAAAGAATGGTTCGTATAGTTACAGTGAAGCTCGTGTCTGTCGTGATAACACTATCATCACTAGTCGTGGGCCTGGGACTTGTTTTGAGTTTGCACTAACTATCGTGGAGGCTCTTTGCGGAGAGAAAACTGTTAAAGAAATAGCTGACCCAATGTTTGTAAAAATATAATAACTTTTCCACTGAATTGTAGTATTATTGTAATAACTTTGCTATTGCAAGAGTGCTGATAAAATAAAATAATAACAGATCTAACTTGGATCTGTTATTGTTTTATTTTATCAGTACATCTAAGGTCATTTTACAGCCTAGAATCATTATTAGGCTGGAGCAGAGTGTCCAGTTAGTAGTGTTTCCAATTGATAATGATACATTGACCTATTACTCAATGGTTCGACCTTTAGGCCTTGCCCAATTATCCCTCAAATTAAAAACTTTCCATTATTCTTAAACTGACCATGAATATCATTAAAGTTTAATTATAATTATAATCTCCACCCATTATTAGTGAACTTTACTCAAGACAGCTCATACCTTTTTCTCAATCTCAAAGAAGGCCTTTTGTTAAATGTATCTATAAAATCTAGATCTATTGCCCATCACTACCAGTTAGCTCTACAAGTCTATGGCTACTTCTGGTAGAAAGGTTGTTGTGATTGGAGCTGGAGTCATAGGATTATCAGTGGCTACACATCTCCTTGAGAAGTATAAAGAAGATATAACAGTTACTATAATTGCTGACAAGTTCTCCCCTAATACCATTAGCAGTGATAAGTCAGGTGGATGGATATTCCCACCACTCAGCTCTGCTAAAACAATATCTCCTGATAATCCAGACAGAGTTACAAAATGGGTCAAAGGAACTTTTGAAAAGTTTTCTGAGATCTGTCATTCTGAGGAGTGTGGTGAGGCTGGTCTGTCTCAAGCTTATGGATATTTGGAATCGCGTGAAATTAATTTTCCATTTCAGCCTCAGGTTGATTTGCAGGGTCTAAAATTCTCGTGGTCAAAATTTGTGCAAGGTTTTCAATACCTGTCAGTAGAAGAAGCTCAAAAACAAGTCTTTGATTGTCACACTCCATTACTTGCCTTTACCACCTTCATAGTCCCTTGCCCTGTATACCTCCCATGGCTTCTGAAGAAATTCAAAGGACTAGGAGGTGTTGCAGAAGAAAGGAAAATCACCAATCTCTCAGAGCTGGCCGGATCTTATGACATTGTTATTAATTGCACTGGCCTGGGTGCAAGGGAACTAGCAAATGATGAACAAGTATATCCAGTACGTGGACACATAGTTACTGTCTCTGCCCCTTGGATTAAACAATGGGTTGTGAGGAGGATCCCAGACGTTAAGGGAAAGACGGCTTATGCATTTCCTCGCGTTAACGAAGTTCTCTTGGGTGGTAGTTTTGATGTCAATAACGAGGATCTAACAGTAGACCAAGATGAAGTAGACAAGATATTAGAGAGATGCATCAAAGTAATCCCGAGTCTTGCCGGAGCAGAAATAAAGGCAACCTGGGCTGGAGTTAGGCCATGCAGGAATGGTGGGATAAGGCTGGAGAGAGAGGAAAGACAAGACTTTGTATTAATTCATTGCTATGGGCACGGAGGAGATGGGGTTAGCTTGAGCTGGGGTTGCGCTATGGAAGTTGGAGAATTAGTTAATGAGACAATTAAATCAAAATAAAACATTATAATAATACTAAATAATGTGTTATTATTTAAAATAATTCATGCTGTTTATTATTATTATTATTATTGAAAAATTAATGTTCATGCTGTATATCTTTTTAATTTTTCAGTTTAATCGATGCCTCAACAATATTTCCGATCTCTTCAGCACATCCCCAACTCAAAGATACTCCAAAATGACCATGTCCATAGCAATGAACTAGAAGGCCAGAGCCATGAGGCAATTCTTCCTTCTCTAGTCTAGTGCCTCCTTTTCTCAAAGGTCTAATCCCAACCCATTTCTCTATAATGCTAGCATCAGAAATACTTGGAATGACTTCCTTGCAGCGCTTTATTATTTTTTCAAAAATGACAGAATCTTCCTCACCTACATCATCTTCAGTGCGGCAATATGTTCCTCCAATTAATACCCTCCCGTACTGAGGAATCATATAAACTCTCTCGTTCTGTGAAGACTTAAGCTGCCCCAGGAGAAGGTATTGTTTAATCCAAGGGGCAGAGATAGAAACCATGTGTCCACGTACTGGATATACTTGCTCATCATTTGCTAGTTCCCTTGCACCCAGGCCAGTGCAATTAATAACAATGTCATAAGACTCGGCCAACTCTGAGAGGTTTGTAATTTTTCTTTCTTCAGTGGTACCTCCTAGTCCTTTGAATCTCTTCAATAACCACGGGAGGTATAAACTACAGTTGACCGTATAAGTAGAGAACGAAGCAAAGCAATGCCCTTCGTTTAAAGGAGGTATTCGGAATTCATTCCACTCTGATTCCATGTCAATGATACGATAATCCTTATAGATCTTCCTCCATAAATCCCCTTTTAAAGAACTAGATTTATACATTTCAGTGCATCCTTCAAAAAACGTGATACCATTAACTGAAGATTTCTCTGGATCGTATAAAGTCTCTAGCCTCTTTAGAGTGTCTTCAGCCCAGCCACAGGCTTTGTCTGACTCTCCAATTTGTGGCAAGACTATGATCCCTCCTGATTTGTCACTTGCTGTAGTGTTGGGAGTAAACTTATCAGCAATTATAGTCACCGTCACGGCCCTCTGGAATCTCTCTAGAAGATGTGTAGCTGCAGAAAGTCCTATCACTCCAGCACCAACCACGACAATAGAAACCATGTTTAAGTTTCAGGTTTAATCGTGGTTTAATAAACCACACCTCTGCAGTTTGATGCAGCACCAATAGTTTAGTTCAAGATAAAAGCAATGTTTAAAAGTTGTGTTAAAGATCATGTCACGTAATAAAAAATAATACGATGAATGAGAGCTCTAGTTCTCCTCATATCATAAACCCAAGGGTCTCCTTGGCCAGACTGGACAAGAACTCCATTTGTCCATCACTTTGTTGAGTATATTCAGAGCTTAACCTTACAACTTTGACAACACCACAACCATCCCCTACTGCAACTAGCTTCGGCCTATAAAGGAATTTGTAGTAGTAACACTTGGCATGCAATATCTTGTCTTGCTACTCACTGCTTGATATTATATTCAATGGAATATATTGGAGCTCTCTGGTCAGAAATCTGAATTGAGGCTTGTGGGGTAATATGACTAGTCTATACAAAATAAATATCAATAATATTATTATAATATTATTATAATAATAAACTTTCTACATAGCATAAAGACATCAGTATGCATCAAAATGTAATAAAAATTTGGGGTGATTTAGGAGCCATTTTTTGGATGAACCATGCACTATAGCCTTTGCTTTTTCTCCAAAAATTGGCTGATTTAAAAAAATGGACATAACTCAAAAATTTTAGTCTGAATCAGCTCAAACTTTCTACATAGCATAAGGACATCAATATGCATCAGAAAATGTAATAAATTTGGGGTAATTTCAGAGCCATTTTTTGGAAAAAACCATGGGAACAGTTCAACAGAACACGAAAACAATTTAAACTTTCTTAGCATAAATATCAGAAAATTTAATGTATAGCTCACAGCTATATTGTATAACAGGAGTTCTCCATGTGATGTTCCAAGTGATATCAGTACAGGGCAAGTTGGAGACCAACAGATAGCAAAAAGGTAACCACGCCCAGGCTCAATGGTCAGTAATGGTGAGGACTACAAAAAAAGAACAACAATTCCATCACATTTGTCATTGCTATACACATAGTACTAACTTCAAGTAATGAGTAAAGTCTTAGTGTGGTGTCCAAGCCACAAGATAAGAATAGATTTCTATGAAAAGGAGAAGATGAGAGAGAGTAGACTGGACCAGAGTGTGGCTTGAAGGCATAACGCATTGAAGAAGATAAATCACAATCACCTAAACAGCAATAATAAAATTAGCCTCAAATTTATCATAATTCAGTAGATCCATAGTGATACCTGAGACAGAAGAGAGATCATCCAAAGAGCACTTGATCAATGAACCATTTTCACAACCAACAACAAAAACACTTTTATCTTCACACGAGAATGACAAACAAGTACCTGAACAACAATCAAGTAAAAAATAGTAGAAAGAGAGACTGACCTCCTAATTCAGCATTACTCTTAGCAATGCTCAAATTATTAGGTATATTGGCTGATCTTAATGACAGTCCTTGACTTGGTACCAGTTTAGACTCAGGGGCTACTCCAACTACTCGTCCTTGAGAGTCCCAGTCCCAAACAAAGATCATTCCATCATTACCCAGTGACAGTAGACGATGGTCTCCCCTGTATGGTCCCTCTTCTTCCCTCAGTATCCACTTCAACTGAGCAATGGGTTCTTTGTGACCCATCCCTGATGATGAACTGATAATTGGGTCATTTTCATTACCAGTGTTTAGAATGTGCAGCCCTCCTATAAAAGTAAAGAATGGGGTAAAGCAATAGTAAAATAATAGGGACAATGAATTTATGATGATGATAACAATAATTATATTAAAGATAGTAATAATAGATAATAGTAATTATACCATCAAATGCTCCAACTGCTAAGATAGCTGGTAAAGATGGATGAAATGCAAGAGACATTATGCACACCTAAGATAATACAAAAAGAGAGAGAGAGAGACGGAGGGAGAGGGTAAAGGAAAGAAAGAGGGGATAATTAGAGAACATACAGGTAACTCGATGATGACATCAGGTTTATTGGGATCTATGCTCCTCCTATCAATATTCCAAGTACACACAGCAGACTGTTGGTAATAAACATGTACACACAATTAATACAATGTAATCTCTCTTACTTTGTGGCTACACCAATCATCATGATTAAACTTGCCATAACTACATGTATACAGTGTATGTTCATGACTTTTAAATGCATTGAAAGATAGTGTACCTCACTGCTATGACTGAGCCAGTGGTGTTCCATGATAAACTAGTGCATTGATACTACATTGAAATCAGTCATTATTATTATTATCATTAATTATAGGGTCATACTCACATCTTTAAATGGTGAATATTGTAAAGTATGTATCACACTAGTGCCTGTAGTTTCATCCTCCCATTCAGCTTTATACCCTTAAGTAATAAATATTATTATATAATTAATATTAACAATTGCTCTATTACCATCAAATGCATGTGTCTTTACATTTCTATCCAAAGCCTTCATTATCATTGGTTCTACTCTTCTCAAAAATTCTCTCAGTTCCTTCAAAAGGAGAGGATTGCTGTCATAATTAAAAGGTCAATATTACTGCTGAATTATCAACTATGTAATGGTGACGTTCTTCTTGTTTCTCTTCATCTGTCTGAACCTAATCATGATTTTTTAAAATTATTATTCAAAATTAATATCAAATACCTCTATATCAGACTGGTCACGTGACTGGCAACTAGCTTCATAAGTGAGTATCTCGCTAGTTGAGTAGCCGTCTCACTC